TGTTTAGCATTTACTTGTACAGTGGGCTTATTGGCTTAGAGATACAATGTACATATACCATGAGTAAGTTAGAGCTGCTCTTTTGTAGGAGAATAGTTAGTCTTATGATTGTAATTTTTGTCTATTATACAGTATAACCTTCTAATGGAGTGAGTATCTATGCATAAAGCCATAAAGAAGGGTTTTGTTGAGACATGTATCCCGAATATGCTGATTTCAAACATTTTTAATGATTTAATGTTCAGTACTACCTAAAACTATGTGAATATGTATGATTTAGTATGCTCTGATTTTAAAAGTTAATAGTTATATGCACCAAGTTAACAGAATCAATTCTATGTTTTGTGTTAACTTTGACCTAAGATTTATAATATCAGTAACACGTGTACCATGATACATTACAAAATAATAGTATCTATGGTAAGGTTGTGTTGATTAGATATTAATTGTTGTTGTGGTTAATACCTTATACAGTCACCCAAGCCTAATTATTGATTAGTTCCTCTTTTTGTCCTATTAGTCAAATTATAAATTGTTTATATTCCTCTATTTTGGCTGCTAATCTGCTGTGGTGTTCGAGAGAGCTCTTAAAAGTACTATGTTCTTGCAGGAGCCATAATTTAAACATAAGTATTCTCTATTAGAAAGGTAGTGTGAGAGCATGCATAGATAAACAGAATTTCTTTCTTTCTAATAAAGGAGATCAAAGTTCATTTTATGGCTCCTACCACCACATATACATGTATCATAATTCTTCTCAGGGTTCCTTAAGATAATGGGCAGCAGATTAGCAGTCAAAATATAGGGAGAAAAACCTTGTTTGTAATTAATAATTGGGTGATTGTGTACATTACTAACCATAACAACAAAAATTTTAGAAAGATTTAAATGTTTCCATGGTTGTAACAAAAAATAGATTTCAAAAAGATATGCCAACCTCTCTCCACAAAAAGTGCTATTACCTTGTGTCACTGCTATGAAAATTATTGTACACACCACAAGCATTGAGTGAAATTCCTACCCCCAAACATATGAATGTGTACTGTGCCAGCCCATGATGTAATCATCATTAGTCTATAGTGGTCCACCAGTTGGAGGGTGAAGACATCCTCCATGCACAGTCATCCTCTTGAGCACTAGCATTGAAACAAATGTTCAATCTTTCCTCGGTAGTACTTGTCTTCAAATTTATTGAACTTGTCTCTTTGTATTTGGAATTACAGGATTTTTAAATTACATTTGTTCCTTTAAATTTCAGTTAAACTATATTATTTTACATCTCGCTTTATTCATGTACTTTTATTTCCAACTAAAACTTTACTTAACTTTAATCAGATGGATCATTTTGAAAAGGAATTCCCATATCCATATTTTTGACACTCCTCCACAAGAGTTGTCTTCTACTGTTTCATTGGTGACTGGAAGCATTCTGATGGTCTGATGGTGCTACCACCATTGTGCACCTGGAGGTTGATTGTATTCTACCTCAGATCCAAGATTCTTAACCTTCTGCTTATGTTGTTTCAGTTGAGCTTGTCCTTGTCTGTTAACAATTTTGACTAATTGTTCTAATTACCTGCCCTTGTGTCTGGTTCTTCTCTTTTTTTTATGAGGAACAGGTGACAGCACCTTCATGCTTGGCTACTTTAAGTACTTAGGTACATGACAATCTTTCTGCAGTTGTTGCTGTTGAATCTTGGGCTACATTATTGCATGTGTCTCCTCCTCCTCCTCTTTATCTTTTCTTTCCATCTTCCCCGATATTTGTGTTCATGCCAATAATTTTTGCCTCAGTTTTACCTCCTCCTCCTCAACCTCAAAAGGCTTATTCTCTGGTGTATGATTAAGATTCCTCTACTTTCCTTGAGCTTCAGTTTCTTCCAGTTCAGGGTTCCTCTTCTGCTTCATGGAGACTTTATACTGAGACCCTGAAAGCTTCACTGGGGACAGTTGCAATATGTATTTGCCATTTTGGCCTCTATCTCTTCTTTTGTAGTGTCCCATTTAACTTGGTTTCTTTGTTTCTAAGATTTGTTTGATCAGTATACCTTACTTTCGGTTGTTTGCCTCCCTCAGTCTTATTTCAGGGATCTCCATTTGACACCCTTCCCTCGAGACGAGCTCTTTGGGTGTGGAGGACCTTATACTTTGGAATCTTGAGTTGAGGTTGCATATCTGCAGTCATCCCTTCCTACTTTGGTTTCTTGGTCCAGGGGGTCCTGAAAGGTTTATCATCCTTGATTATCTCATTGGAATGCCCCTTTTCCTGTTTTTCATTCTTTTGCTACTGTCCATTGTCCCCATCCTGGAGTGCTGGCCATCACAAATCATGGAGGTGACTTGTTTTTGGAGCTGTGACTCAGCTCCACTCCAGCAGGAACTTCGTTCTACCTCTTTACACTCCTATGAACACTCTTTGCAAAAGATCTTTGGGTCACAGAGATGCTTTCTCATGGACTTTTCTCCCACTCAACATCCTCTTTCTCCTTTTCCGGTTGTGTTTCTACCTCCCTCAGATAACTTATACCTTTGTCACTTGGAGCAGACAGTGTACTCTCTCTAGGTTATGAACACTGTGAAACAGGTCCCCAATTTCTCTCTGTGGTTTTACTCCATTCTTTCTTTCATTCCCAAGAAGATGGGAGATTTATCACCTGTCACATATCTTTCATACTCGAACCATATTTTTCTCATCTTTTGGTTCGAGATTCATGGTTTTATCAATCTGAACTGGATGAGCAAAGTCAATGTTTCTGATGCTTTTTTTTCCATCCACTCATCACTTCTGCCTATTCATTCATGACATTCAGATTTTTCAGTTCTGGGACTTTCCGTATGGGTTAGTAGTGGCTGAACGTTTTCAGCCAGTTCCTGCAAGCTTTTGCCTGGAGTTGAGTTCTCACTTCCACTACTATGTGGGAGTCATTTTGTTTGGACAACGGTCAGATTCTCTAAATGCGTAGAACCCTACTCAGTATCGTATTCCTTTGGGAGTTTTTCAATCCATTTGCAGGGTGGGCTCCGCCTTCTCCTTTGTGTTTTTGAGACATGGAACTTCTGATTACCAAAGCTCTCATGTATCATTCTCTTCCTGTATGAGAGATTCTGTCTTTTTTGTGGACTCTGGTGTCATTTGAGCCCCTTTGTTCTTCTTGTATATGTTCGTATGCTATCCCTTTCGGTGGACCCAAGCAGGTCAATGGAAAATGTCCAGGGATTTGCTGTTGTCTCTTGTATCTCTTCTTCCATCTCTTCAGTTCTTGCTGTCATGGTGGCTTAATCAGTTCTTCATATCACTGGGAATCTTTCTTCTCCCACCTCACTCAGACCTAACACTCTTTGGTCTCCAAAGGAGCTATGTGTTTATGTCAAAACTTTGGCTACTCATCAAGCTTGTCATATTTCTCTAGTCATCTTGTTATGATCCATTTGGACAGCTTCCACTGTTGTTTCTTATATCAACTAACAGGGAGGCACTCACTCTATGGACCTTTATTTTTGGGCTCTGGATTTTCTCTCTTAGGCCCTTGATAACTAAATTTAGTTTTTGTCCCATGGCCTGTCATGTTCTGGGAGCTTTGAACTTGATGGTGAATTGACTGCCTCACTAAGACTGGATCCTTCACACAGAGTGGTCTCTCCAGTCTTGTGTTTCAGAGGATTTCTTCCAGCTTTGGGAGCCATATGTGCCTTGTATTCATCTCAGGATGGAAATCTGGAATCCTTCCTTTTTGTTCAAGCTTCTTCCAGTAACTTTTTCACTTAAGTATTTCTCCATGACTGTATTACTTGACTTATTGCCTTAGCCTCACTACACAGTCATACTCAGCTAGCTGCCTGAGGAATAATGGCCACTTGAGAAATCTTATATTTTGCCCATCTACGTGACACTTTAGCACCACATAGAAGGTTCTTTTGTCAGTACCTTGTGTTCTACCACCTTTATTTGGTAAAGAGTATTCTCTGCATGTGACAGATGTAGTCTCACACTGAGTGATGCTTCAATGGGCTCCCCCCTCCCCTCTAGCAGGTGACATACTCCACAACTTTCCCTTTCTGATGGTTTATTTCATAGAGGAGATCATCATTTTAGTTTCTGTGTCTGCACTGACATCTTCATCATCTTCTCAATTGTAAAATTATAGCTCTGTTGTTTCTGAAGTTAACATTTTTCTGACCTGAAAATGTATTTCATATGGACACTCATCTTTCCTTGCACAACCCCTTTTACTTCACATCTGTTGTGTTTCTTTTGTCTCATGAAAAATGGGTCTTTGTTCTATTGCTAGTGTTTACAGGGATTGCTGTGCCCTCCTATTAGTGAAAGGCTATTGTCTAATGCAGTACAGAAGTTTCTTTCAATGCTTGTGGTATGCACAAAAATCTTCATGGCAGTGGTGTAAGATAATAGCTTTTTGTTGTGCAGACAGTTATCTACATGAAATACTTAATAAGGTAAGAAAAATAATGACTTTCGCTTTAACCAATCATGAGGTACTTATAGGCTTAACCCATTTAGTAATTTTTGTTAAACAATGGTGTTAATTATCCATAAGGAAATCTAAATGTTAGGATAACAATAGAATTATGTATGATAGTACAAAAGATTCTTTTTAAAAAATATACCAATTATCAACTCGGGAGCAAGTGTTTGATAGTCTTTCTATTTTAACAGATACACAAATGTAACATATTAACATGTATGCATTCACCATGTGTGAGAGAACAGCTTTTTTTCTTGAAATACTTATAAACAAATTTTAAAATGTCAGTATACAGCTTAAGAAGATTATGTACATTCATTTTATAGTTATGATTAAATTAACTTTTGAGGTAGACGGGTAAATTTTAATTACTAAAACAGTATAACCATTTGTCCATGTTGTTTACAGCACAATACTCAATATTACTATGGTGAATTCATTTGGAAGGCTTTTCAAATGTACAAATTATGTTACTAATTGGACAGGTTGACTAGATACAACTTTTCCATTTTCCAGTTGTAACAAATGGAGATGTTCCTCCGGGCAAAACCTTTGTTAGGGAAGGTGGTAAGTTTACCTTAACCTGTCGTGTGCGCCCAGTTGGTCTCCATCTGTGGTATAAAGATGGAGTGCCTGTTGTGCCTGACACAAAAAATAGGTATCTCCTAGAGCAGGAGACTTCTCCGTCCTTTGGGCCTGAATTTGTAATGCTCATGAAGCTCTCTGTGGAACAGGCAGTACCTATCCATTCAGGAGAATACAAGTGTAGCAGCTTTAGCCCACATTCACATCGTATTGTGGTGCTAACTGGTAAGGTCTCAGCTTCTTTTCTTTCTGTGACAAAAAGATGGCTCAACCAAAGTGCTGTACATTCTGTTTTTTGTTTATGAATGTTGGTCTAAGTAAGGAAAATAAGCTTTTTCTTGCGTAAGTGACTTTTGCTTCAGTATACCTTGTATTGTTTATTTGTAAATGGTAAAGATTAGTGCCTTTGTTGAATTTATAGCCAGTTAAGTCAGCTTTAAAGATTACACATGTAGGTTACAGAAATCAGTCTTGGATTTTACAAATACTTTATTTCTTCAGATTTCATTCTCATGTTCATCTTCAGTTATATAATATTGAGTATGGAACTATTTTCCATAAAAGCAAGAAACATTTGGAAATTAACTCTATTTTGATACTTCACAATAAAATTCTTTAAAAAATGTTATCATCTGCCTGTGCTCACCATAGAGTGTTAAAAAGATATTTTATATGAATATATGTGTAAGTAAATTGTCATAGTATTCACAGATTCACATTGGAGAATTAAGCAGTGTTATGCATTATAATCTTCAGGCTATTAAACTGATTTTTATTAGTATATTCAAAATGTTTTAACAAAAAGGGAAAATATAGCATTTTGTCAGGTTTATCTTGTTATCAAGTACTTGTTTTTAAATCCTAGTTTTTTATTAGTTTTATCAATAGTGAGTTAAATGTATATTACAGTTACATGTAGAGTAATATGTTCACTAGTTTTACCATTATTCACAAATGTACAGTCCTGAAAATAGTTAATTATCTTGTATACATACATCTAACTGAAAACTTATTGTTTAGGCTATAAAAATATTTAGTTGATAAAAAAGTTAATCATAATTTGTTTGAATTACTGAATTAAGTACTAGCCAATAGCCATATCTTTAAATTTTAATTATATAGTGAAAAAATAAGAATAAAATACAATTTATAAATCTGATATTATTGTAATCAAGCAACCAATAGCTGGATCAATTTAAACTTAAAAAACAACTTCTAATAGATTTCCATTATAAATAGTTTGGTACATGTATTTAGGAAATACTTTACTCTTTTTTTTTTGTCTTTTCTTTTCAAAGAAGTTGAATGCTCTGGCTTGTGTTTAATCCATCCACTATTTTGAATAACATCAAGATTTTGTTAATCATTCAATATGATAGTGGTTCATAATAGGGATCGCAGTGAATTGCATGAAACCCTAATAGAATGTTCGGGGAAAAAGCACCTTAAATAGTAAAGACTTAGTTCAAACAACATTTTAAAACCTTTACTACTGACTGCTAAGTCTGTACAATTATAAAAATGCACAAGAAAAGCACGAATGTTAGACTTGCAAGGAAAAGAAAATCTGCACAAAATGGCCTGTTTGTAATTTATATTATTATTACTCTATTGCCAGCTTACAACAAAAATGGCTTTCTATATTGCACCCAAACCTTTTTTAGAATACTAAATAGGGTACTGTGAAGGTCATAGGGGTATTGAAAAGTTGATTTGTTTCTTCTGTATTTTGCATAAGCTAAAAAAACATAATTCTAATGTAAACTATGTTATGGTTATCCCTTGAAGTTAGCTTTCTTACAGATATTTGGTGCTCCTTTTAAAAAGCTTAAGTACATGGTGAAACAGGAATTACCGACCAATAATAGATGAGCATTTGATAACTGTAACACGTAGATACTCAACGCTTCGTACACTATGCAATCAGTGTCTGTAGGGAGCCAACCCTCATATTATGTATGAAGCGAAGGTGTAAAAAAACAAAACAAACCATTACACATAATATTAAATTTTATTGCACACATTTATAAAATAATTACCATAAAAGACCCAAGGGTGTATCTAAAGTGATGTTTTGAACATATATCTTTTATTTTAAAAGGCTGCTTTTCTACTGGCCAAATTTTATATAAGCATTTAATGGGGGGGGGGGGGGGTTGGTGTCTTAGTCTAGGCATATATTTGGTCATTGCTATGCATTATATAGAGAGAATTAGTTACACAGAAACTATAAATGATGTTCACTGTATTCTCAAACAAATCTCCATGACAATCTCCAGCTGCAGCTTAGCATTTTACATCTCGAACTAATGCGATCAAATAGTCAATAGCTACAGTAAATCATCGTGAATCATATCAGCTAGTTACTAGCTATGTTTGCTCAAACTACAAATCCCTACTCTGACTCTACCAAATGTAATTCTATGTAATAGCACGGAGCCAAATTAGGAGTTTGTAGTTTGAGTAAATAATGTCTGCAGTATCTCCAGTCATGTTTGCTAACTTTTTTTACAATCCCTAGTTGCAGGTTTTTAAATTCTCAATTTTATAATTGTTGGTGAGCTTTTCTTGAAATAAAAAGATTGTATAAAGATTGTGTTTGATGCAACATAAAACAATCCAGTGCATATTTTGTACATATCTTAAACATAAAGTTTTTTGTCTCTGAAGCTTAAAATTTAAAAATTGTCATTGTTACAATTTTGAAAATGTGATATACAAGTATAACAGGCAGGTGATAATACATAATACATACTTTTTAGATGAACTTGGTAATATGAGGTGTAAAAGTTTCAAATAATTTTATTAGGAAAGTGCAAAAAATGAAGATGAAAGTCAAGCTCAAAAATTAACTCTGAAAAAAAATTATAATATTTGATTTTATTGTAGCCTTGTTCATGTGTAATATTAAGCTGTTTTTGACTCCATGTATGGGGTTACATATTTCAGAACATGTAGAATAGACAAATGTGTAGACACTTTTATCTGATATAAAGCGACTTTAGAAATGTATTTTCTAGTTATAAGTAGTAATATGAAAATGAGTAGAGATGTATATAAAATGTTGTATTGTCTCTGTTTGAGCCATCTTTTCCTGAAGCATCACTGAGCTCTATATTTATTTATTTTACAGTTTATTATAAATTATTGTAGGGAAGAGCATTAGTATATGAGTGTAGAAAGCTTCTAAACTTTCCTTTAATCACAGCTTGCTTTTAACACCTTTGTATACTTTATGCATGTTTTAATTTTGGTTGTATTCATGTTTTGTATTTATTTATTTTCTGTTTTTTATGCACATACATTTGTAATCATATACACACATACTTGGATAATCCTAAGCTTGACTACTTAATGCAATCCCATACATATTAAGGAATATGTATGTATAATACGTACTTCAATGAAAGCAGTTACATTTGTAAATAACTGAGTCGCAAGGTGTCATCTACATTTGCCTCTTCATCTTTACATATTTATTATTAAAATCAAAACAGTGAGGAAAGTAGTTATCTTTTTTTAACAGTATTCCTTAAACAAAAAATATTTATTAACATTCACAATGATTAAAATAGCTTATGAACATGTAGGTCTTCTAAAAATCTATTCACTGCAGTCAGTAATCTAACTTAAAAATTCATAAAAAGAAAATATCTGAAATGATACAGTGTACATATATGTATATTCAAAACTAAATTCATCAAATAGTGACCTAGCAAAAATCACTTATTTTAAATGTGGATTTTGATGTTACTGTATCAGTTAGAGCATATTATAAAGAATTAATTAAATGTTAATTTTTATTGTGTATTATACAAAAGTGTATCATACATTTGTTTTACAATTATTTTAAGTGTCATGTTCACATGAGTGACTAGAAAAAGTTTAGTTTGGCCCAACATTGTCATTGTTGTAGTTGGTGATCTATAAAAATAAGTTCATTTTCCTATCGGTACAATAGGTCATTGGAACTTGAATTTGAGCAGCCAGTATTGTTTTTATCTGAATGGTTTTGGAAAGGCTAATTCCTTTCATACTTTTACCTGTATACTTTTTCTTTCTAATTACAAAGAGGTTGTTATGGTACCGGACACTCTAAAAGTGAAGTACAAGCTGAACAAGTTTTTTAGTCTTATCATATTTATACTGTTGTAGTACTGATTTAATTTAGAACTGTGTTGACTGCTACTTCCATGTTGCCCTTACAGTATAGGTTCAAGCAGGGGTTATTTGCTGATTCATAATTAATGTAACACAAGTAAAGAAGAAAGATCTGTAAGTCTGAGATGACTTGGTAATTATATGTAGTTCTGCAGTTTGTGGGGTACATACACATTCTTAAATACATTTAACACAGTTCTGTTTGCTAGTTCTTTACACACACTTAAATTATATGTACAGATTATATAAATAATGATCACTTAATTTTATATTACTATTATCAATAATAGTAAATATATGTGTATATCACAATATATGTAAATGAAATAATCTATTACTCTAAAACCCATCTCACACAAATATTTCACATGTTTAGTTTTGCCCTTAACCCCACAGCAGGTGACACTTAGTAATGTAACATATTTAGGAGTAAGGATTTTCTAAAGTAATAAAGCATTTTCTTTATATATTTAGCGTGAAATTTCTTTCAGTACTAAAGAAGAGCACTGTGTTATTTAACTTATTTGTATGTATACGTTTTCAGAACTTTGAGCATGGGCACAGGCTTGTATTAATGAATGACTTAATGTCTGGTTGCATTTTAAACTTGTATAAAGTTACGTGACAGGATTAGAACTGTGTGACATGATTAATTACCAATGAGCACCTATTATAATTATCATTGTCACATAAAAATATTTATTAATAAAAATTATTATTATTAAATCAATTAATCAAGTGAGTGTGCCTGATTATTAGTTTTTGATTACTCAAATAGTTGATTAATTGAAATTCCAATTAAATCAATTATAACAAATAATCAACTAATTGAAATATTTTTGATTATTCCAAATATCCAGTTAATTGAAATATTGCTATGTTATGCCCAATTTTAGCCTTAGTTTTTTTTGCTTGTATGCTCTAATTT